CCTGACCCAGGCCTCCTTCATCCCTCTGCTACCAGGACTGAGGAAGCCGGTGTCTGGGATCTGGGCAGAATCCAAACTGGCCCTGGTGCGCTGTGTGTGTGTGTGTGTGTGTGTGTGTGTGTGTGTGACATCAAAGTACCGAGAGGTCCCTGAAGACCTCTCAACCCACGTGCCTCTCGTTCCCTCTGGGCCGCAAACCCTGCTTTCAGCAGCCTCTGCTTCTGGTTATTAGCTCAGGGCCCCTTCACTTCCCTGCCCTACCATTCCTCCAGGTCTTTCCTCCACAGCTTTTCCTGACCCAGGCCTCCTTCATCCCTCTGCTACCGGGATGAGGAAGCCGGTGTCTGGGATCTGGGCAGGATCCAAAGTGGCCCTGGTGCGCGCGCGTGTGTGCGTGTGTGTGCGTGTGTGTGTGTGTGTGTGTGTGTGTGTGACATCAAAGTACCAAGAGGTCCCTGAAGACCTCTCAACCCACGTGTCTCTCGTTCCCTCTGGGCCGCAAACCCTGCTTTCAGCAGCCTCTGCTTCTGGTTATTAGCTCAGGGCCCCTTCACTTCCCTGCCCTACCATTCCTCCAGGTCTTTCCTCCCAAGCTCGACCCTATAGTGCCTCCAAGCCCGCCCCCTCTCCCATCCCTGCCTCCCTTCCCCTATCTTTTCCCGGGACCCTGCCTCCTGGTCTGGGGCCAGGGGCGAGCAGACCCAGCCCTCTGTGACTCTCTTCCTAGCAGAGATGGGGCGGGCTCTGGAGCTCTGGCCAATGGAGGGTGGAGCCCAACAGCTGGCTCATAGCCCTGGCAGCTGCAATTGCTGGGTGGCTTAGGGATGAGGCCCAGCCCCCTGCCTCGCTTCCCTTCCCCCTGTCTCCCCTCCCTTCCCCCAGGTATAAGAGCTGAGCTCAGGTTAGCTGGCTCATCCTGTCCTGCCTCAGAGGTGTCAGCAGGTAAGGAGATCCAGAGCTTTTCACCCAAAATGGGCTGCCCCTGTCCAGAGGGCATGCTTAGACTATTCTACTCTAATCTGCCAGGGAAAGGGGCGCGGAGGGGGGGAGGGGGGAGGTCCTGGAGGCTGGTATGTGTGCCTGGAACAGAGGTGGGTGTTTGGAGGAAGAGGAAGGAGTGAAGCTAAGGTGAGGTCCAAGGGATTCTCTCTAAATGGGTTGGCCTGGGAGTTGGCCTGCAGCCTGGGTGGGGACGGGGCTTTGTGTGGAGCTGACCCCGACCCCTTAGATGAGGCCAGAGTATCTGGGGTGGAGCCAAAGGGGGTAGTTGAAAAAGAAACGCTGGGATTTCCCCTCACCTCTAGGTAGATCATGAGCCATCGGCTCCTCCGGGGCAGGCTGTAGACTACACAACTCTCAACCAAAGGACCAAGCACACCAGGCACCATGGGACAGTGTCGGTCAGCCAATGCCGAGGTGAGCCCATTCATTCCTGGCCCGTCTCTCTGTTCCCACACTCCTCTGCTTTACCCTGAGGGTCTGTGTTCCCCCACTGACCTCTGCCCTCTCGCCTTGGCCGTGGTCTACCCTCCAGACCCTGGCTCTGAGACCTGAACCCCCTTTCTGGTGCCCACGCAGGGTGATGCAGTAGGAGGCCTCCCAGGACGAGGATGCCTGGGCCACGTGCTGA